GGGCTCCTCCCTCTGGACCCCACTGCTCCCCAGATCCACCTCCAGGACAGACGGGGATGTGCCCAGTGAAGTTTGTGGAACCCCTTCCTGTGACGAGAACACGTGGGAGGTGCTGCCCTCCAGTGTTTACTGAGAACATGTGGAGCGATCCAGGGTCACATGTGCATGTTCAGGAGTCTGTGCCATGTGCGGCGTCACTATCTGTGTCTCTGGCTTTGTCTCTCTTGTGATGTATGCAATTTAATGTGACCACAGCTTTGTCAGGTACAGTCCATGTCGGTGTAAGAAACCACACACACTGAACAGTTACCCTGGATACGTCCTGGTGTGTGGTCACCTGCCTGACATCCCCGCCATCCCCACCAGCACCACCAGCACCACCAGCAAATGGGGACCAGCCCTCACCGCGGTGCTTCCTGTGTCCCTCTGCCATTCCTCCCCCTCCCGCCCACTTCCCACCGTGTCCCCAGGTGCTCCTGTGTTTGTTTCCTCACAGTAGCTTCCATCTTTCAAGGTCATACAAGTGGAATCACACAGCACATACTCGTAACTTTTATCTTCTGTGTCATAATTGGAAACACAATGTGTGGTGTGAGTGAGGCTCACACGGGTTTAGTGCTGAGTCTGCTTCCAAGCAGTGGGTACACTCACTGTGTTTCTGTCCACCTGCTGACAGGTGATTGGAGTGTCCCCATTCCTGCCTATGACACAGAAAGCTGCTAGTCAGCTTGGAGATGCAGAGAGCTGAGGACACGTGCTTCTCATTCTTAACACATCCACAGTGACAATAAGAAGACAGCTGGACGAACTGCAAATCAATAAATTTGCTTCTACATATCCAGTAAATGATGTCACAGAAAGCTGCTCTCTGAGGCCTAGATGCCAGGAGTCTGCAGTAAGAAAGGGGACCAAGCACCATGCTGCCAGGGTGAGAGGTCTCCAGATGGCACAGACCCACAGAGAACAAGGGATTATGACAGACATGTAATCATTTCAAATCCCACTGTGCTAAGATCTGCGTGTGGGTCTGCCAGATGCACAGACTGAGGGACCTGACCCCCTTGCTGGTCTCTGGGGCGGATCCACACCAGCTGCAGCCTCCAGACCCCGATGGTGGAGACCGTCCCTGCACAGCAGCCTGGTGGGTTTGCTTCCCTCGGGGAGCCATCCACACCTCAGGGCCTTGTGGGAAATGAGAGAACCTCCAGCAGGGAGTGGAGCTCTCCCCTGGAAAGGGCGCGCGAGAGAAAGGCGCTCAGCCAGATGGTGACAGAATTTCTCCTCCCCGGAGCCTCCGTGATGAGAGCACTGTGCTCTCACCGGGGTCTTGATCTGAATGTCCCCAGGGACCAGTGATGCTGAGTGACTTCTCCTCGCTCCTCTCCCACCTCTGTCTCCTCTGAGCTGAGAGGTCTGTACAAGTCTCTGCCTGGTGTGTAAACAGTTGTTTCCTTTTCTTCTGTTAAGCTTTCAGGGTTGTTATTATATTCTGTTCACAGCCATTGGGTGGGTACATGATTCGCGATTATTTTATTCTTGTCTGTGGCTTGTTTTTCATTCTCTGGATACTCATGTAGGCACCAAAATGTTGTTAAATATTTTTGTTCGTTTGTTTGTTTTGTTTAGTTTTGAAGATCGCCTTTCATTTATTTATTTTTTTAAGATTTTATTGGGGAATTGGGGGAGGGAACAGCATTGGGGAATCGGGGAAGAAAACAGACAAGCTTCTGTCCCTTTGTTCTTCAGACTAGTTGTGGAGGACGTCGTTGCACTGGCCCATTGGTATTATCATTGTGCTCTTCCCAGCTGAGGCAGACAGTCACCAGCCATTGTACAGCAGCTCACGGGAGCTCACACCCACTGGCGGCCTCTCACTGTAGCTCATGACATCCCACTGCTGCCTCACTGCAGCCTACACTGTTGCCAGTGACTCATGGCAGCCCAGCTCCAGGTCGAGCTGTTGTTCATCATCTTAGCTGTAGAGGGCGCAGGGTCACTGGCCCTCATGTGGGATCCGAACTGGTGGCCATGCTGCTCAGAGCTCACGCTTGCAAGCCAACTCTTAACCAGCTCACCACTCTGCTGGCCCTGTTTGTTACATTATAAATTTATAGACTCGGGTGATTCTTTTTCATGGTATGGTCCTCATAAGATGCTGACATTTCTGATTTCATGCTCAAACTTGAACTTGAGATGGTGTGAGAGACACTTTTCTGTATCCTTTCTACCAGATTGCTCATCAGATGTGATCCATGTGCTTCTGGAGTCAAACTTAGGGATTTCTGTTTCCAGGATTGGGTGTATCGCTATCGTGGGCTCTCATGACTCTCATGGGTGCAAAATCAAGTCCTGGAGGAAGGTTTATCCATCACAACTCCAATGTGAAATTGCTGAACATCACCTGTGCACAGCCACTGTCAGACATTCCATGCTGAGAGCACAGTCCATCGGTGTTGTCATTTCACACATTATTTTATTCATGGATTTTGGACCAATTTTCTTCTTCATGGCAAGAGAAGCTTGGTTTATGTAACTCTGGAATTCGTTCAGCTTTCGTATCAGCTCATGCTACTTCAATGTGAAATCCATGTTTTAATCAAAGTTGACTCTGGGTTTGTTTGTGTTCTGTCACTTGTAGGTACAGCACCTCAGGAAACAGCGGTATCCTGTGGGTGATTCTAGCACCCACATACCTGGCCTTGTCAGGTTGAATGCTGATGAGACAGAA